TTACTGACCTATCAGTAAACATTTTTGGTGAAACTTTTTTTTTGTTTGAAAAAATATGTAAACTATACAATGTTTTCAGATGAAAATACTTCTGATCACTATTCACATCAATAGCACTATTCGAATGTAACCTAGTACTTGTTTCTATTTACCTTTATAAAAAGCAGACAGGAATGGAAAAGAGAGGCTTTAAATGCTAGCAATAAGAATGATGTCTAGCGTAGGAAAAGCTATCACATGAGATCTGAGAAACAGAAGTTGTTAATGTTTGAAGACAAACATGAGCTCAGTATAAACCAGCAGGCTGTACTTAGATACACAAACTGGAGCCCTGCAGGGAAGAGCATTTAAATTAGTATTTAAATTAGTGCTGAGAGGAATTTCCAGGACGTATTTAAATTAGTGCTGAGAGGAATTTCCATAGGATTTAGAAGAGTATAGATGTGTGATTATGCCTTGGGACTCATTGCCAGTGGATATCCTTGACACGCGGTATCTGTTTTTATAAAGGGGATCAATATTCACGCAGAACTCCGAAGCACCCAGTGTTAGATTTCTAAGGGTGAAAAGGAATTAAGACACATTTGAATATTAACCCTTCTTCTCCTAGCCACAAGACCACCTTTTCAGTGAGGAACAGCAAAATCCACTCTCTTTATGCAGGGTTTTTTGCAGAGAACGCCTTGTCTTCCCTGTTAACAGCCAGTGCCAAAGACAGCTCCAGAAAAACTTCAGCTTGACATAAGGCTTCCTTGGCTGGCACAGCAATGCCTAAACCCGCAGGGATTTTTATTTCCCCACTGCTCTGAGACAGAACCGGGTGCCACAACGTGGCGCGGAGCACGGGGACGTGCACCCTGATGCTGTGTGGGAACACATCTGGAGGCACGGTGGGAGGAAGAAACTGGAGGAGAGCTGATGGAAACCTCTCTCCTCCTCCAGTGCATGATTTCACAGAATCACAGAATCACAGAATCACAGAATCTTAGTGGTTGGAAGGGACCTCTGAGATCATCAAATCCAACCACAAAAAAAAAAACAAAAAACCCCAAAAAAACCCCCACCAAACAAATACAAATACAAAGCACACCACACCAAACGCCCACCAAAAACACCGCACCCACCAACTAAACCCCACACTCAACACCTCACCATGAACCAATAACCTTGGGCACTAGAGCATGCCCTGAAGAGCCATGTCTATACGTTTCTTAAATCCCTCCAGGGATGGTGACTCCACCACCTCCCTGGGCAGGCTGTTCCAGTGCCTGACCACTCTCTCAGTAAAGTAGTTCTTTCTAATATCTAATCTAGATCTCCCTTGCCGCAACTTCAGACCATTTCCTCTGGTCTTGTCGTTCGTCCTTTGGGAGAAGAGGCCAACACCTGCCTCTCTACAACCTCCTTTCAGGTAGTTGTAGAGGGCAATGAGGTCTCCCCTCAGCCTCCTCTTCTCCAAACTAAACATGCCCAGAATTTGTATCTGGAGTCTACCTGCCGGTGTCTGCTGTGGCTGCCTTAACGTTCCGTTGGTGGTCGTGTTCCTCAGCGAAGGGTTTCCAATATTACCACATCTGTTCCTGTCATCCTCGAGTCCCCCCGGCAACACACAGCACGCTCTTTTCATTTCATCAGCTTGACACAGCCAGCCCTTACAGAGCTGAGAAATTGTTTGCTTTAGATGCGGTGTGATTTAATAAGGGACCATGGGAAAGGATTTATTTGGACAAGCAGATAATGACAGATTGATCTGGGACGTGTGCATTTTCTCCCATCCTGGCACTTTTCTGTTGCTGAGAAGATAAAGGTGATGCTAACCACTTGCCCTAGCCTGATGTCAGCTTCTGATCTCAGCAATCTGATTGATTTCAATGCTAATAATAATGCTAAGAATGGCACCACTCTTCTGCTAGAAATAATAATATAATTTGTATCATTTGTAGGTATTTTCGATAATATTTTTATATCTGTGTTATTAATATCCTTTAAACATATGAAGATAATATTTTTTTAGTTGTAGAAATTTTGTACTAATTACAAAAGAAATATGAGTAATACTAATTGTTTCTCAGCGACAATTTATATGGGAAATACAGCTGGAGACATAGAAAAACAAGTATTAAGTGCTTTTCTGTGTACTACTGATTTGACATAGACATGCAAGGATCTGTATGTACCATTCTGATTTAAGAAAGATGGCCAGTCTGGATTTATAGTTGATTTTTAAGATGGAAATCTTAAGCAAAATCTGGGCATCTAGTGAAGTTTATGTGCATGTTTCCATAAGTAGATATTTCTGAAATTAAAATAAAGATGTGATTATTTCTAGAGGCCCAGAGAGCTAGGGAAACAGTTATACTCATGAACACAATCCTCACTCAAAGGAATGTAAGACTTTTAGACTGTGTATCATATCTAAATCAGCTAGACATTTCTAATACTTACTTACCAGGTACCTTATCTGCAATAACTAATAACAAATAACTATAACTTTCCAAACTTTAGTCATGACTGGCTTCATGGATTTAGTTTGCCAGTGATTTATTTAGCAGCTACCAAGAAAATACATTTTGAGACCTGTGCTGGAGGTAGTTACTCACCAAATATTATTTAAGAAGCAAATCCCCTTTCATATGTCCGAAATCAGTCAGAGATATTAAGTAGTGATTATATTCTTTATCTATCATGCAATTTAAAGAAACTTATTATTTCAATGGGAATGATAATCTGCAAATGGTAGAAAAGATGGACTGACTCTGAAAAGTATGTGAAAGCTGTGGGAATATTTCTATTGATTCTAATAGATTTTGGATAAAGGTTATTATAAACAAATAAGCACCTGTCTTTTGACTAACAGGCTGTCTAGACTGGTAGATAGCCTAATTTTAAACTAATTCTAGACCGATATATAATTTTAGTCTCATCATTTAAAAAGATCTATCATTAATCATAAGTCCCACTTGAGAAGACAAATTATTGCTTCATTTTTTTCTTGCTTAATGTTCTTTAAAAACATTACTTTATAGGATTTTTCTTTTAATTTATGTCATTTCATATGATCATAGTTATTCATTCATTCAGATAACTTTATCTTGAAGAAACCAGAAAAATATAAAATTTGGGAAATTATCTACTATTAGTTGATACTTAAAATAAATACATTTGTAGCTTTACTTTTAAAATAATTTCATACATCATTAATATGAATGCATATCACATTTGCATTTTTCTCATATATTGATTTTATATCATTTATATCTCTTATGAGTATTGATTTAAAGAATTACTTGGGTCAGAGTTAAAGTTGGTTTTTTTTTCATTAATTGTATATTTTTACCAGAAAAAATGAACAATGAGATTGGGAGTGCTCCCACCAACCCTTGTAGTGCCTCAGCATGAAGCTTTTAACTTCCATTTGAAGGGTGGTAGTGAATGATTGCTGGTGGTGATCTTCCACTGTGGATCTGAAAGATCTGCAAAAGTTCACCTGATCTTATCCTCAGGAAGAATGGAAGACTTTCGTCCCAGAAATACAGAAAGAAATATTTTTTTTTTTACATTTTTTCATATCTTAATATCAAATTTTATCCTTGGTCCAGTTAGCTTATTGTACTACATGGAAATAAAAACCTTATGTAGTTTAACTTAAATATTACAAATACATAGATACTTGTCACGGTTTAACCCCAGCTGGAAGCTAGGACATTGCAGCCGTTCAATCACTTCCCAATCCCCCTGTAGGGTAGGGAGAAGAGCGAGGAAAAAAAAAGCAAAGAAAAAAACCCTTGTAGGTTGAGATATAGACAGTTTAATAGAACAATAATGGATGAGAAAATAACAACAATAATAATAATGGTAAAACGGAAGAGAAAATAACAACAACAATAATAATAATGGTAAAAGATTATACAAAAAAAGTAATGCAATACTATTGCCCTCACTACCTAATGATCAACTGTCCAACCCATCCCAAGCAGCCGCTGCAGATTCCTGCCACCCTGGCCAACCTTTCCTTTATATGCTGAGCATGACCATTCCTATGGTATGGAACATCCCTTGGCCAGCTTGTCCTGTCTATGCTCCCTCTCAGCTTCTACAGGAAGCTGAAAAAGTCCTTGACTTAGTAAAAACACCACCTAGCAACAACTAAACCAATGTGTGTCATCAACATTATTCTCATACTAAATGCAAAGCACAGCAGCTACTAGGAAGAAAATTAACTTTATCCCAGCTGAAACCAGGACAATACTCAAAAGAAAAGTAGACTGAGAGATCGAGAGGCTGGTGAAAGGAAGTTACCGTGCCCGGCTCTCTGCTCCATTACACAAGTTATACTCAGATGTTACTGCTTTCATGTCAAGAAGTTTATACATTCCTACAGCTGCTGTAATACAGTTAAGAAAACAACTCTATAACAGCAAATGCATAAATGTACAAGCTTCTCTTAAAAGTCTGGTGCCTGTGGTGGGGAAGACTTACAGCCCTGCTCAGGAGGTCTTGAAAAAGGTTTAATGGAAGATAAATGCCCGTGTTTCTGTACCCATGCACTTTTCAAAGGCATTGAAGAAACACAGCATCTGAATTCTATCGGTTTTCAGTAGGAAATAGGTATCCAGCTGCTATTTGTGCTCCTAAAAACACCCAACAAACCAGCTGATGTATCCCTCAGAAATTCCTGGTTTTACCATGTGATTCCCCTGTGTCCTCTTACCAACATGAAGGTATCCCTCAGAAATTCCTGACCACATGATTCCCCTGTGTCCTCTTACCAACATGAAAAAGCATTTAAGTTACAGATCATTCTAAAAAACCAAGGGAAGGGGAAAAAAAAGGTGTGTTTATTTACAAAAATGATTTGTGAACCATTTCTTTTTCTTATTTTTGTTTTTACACTCCACGTTGCGATTTCCCACTGCACTTTAAAAAGTCGTATTTTTTAGGAGAACAGCTTGTATTCCAGCATTCATTATTTTGACGTGAACATTCCTCTTCACTTATAGCGTCCAGCAGAGATCCTGATGTAAACAGCCCTGAAAGTCCAACTCTCCTTCACCTGTTCTCTCATATTGAATTTATTAAGCAGCAGATGGCCAGGGACAACGTACAGTTTGTCAGATTTGAATCAATAGACCTCCATGGTGTGTCAAGATCAAAGAATATTCCTTCTCGCTTCTTTCACGTAAGTTTTTTGTTCTCTGACTGTACCTGTGTTTCATGTTTTCATGTCCCTGTCCTTAGGTGTTTTGGGTTTTTTTCATAGTGCAGAAACTCAAACTTAGGACAAATTATCTGTTCTCTCCACTTGTTGATGTTCCCAATGACTTTTTCATCACTGCAATCATCCATTTCTCTGTTCCTCCAAACAGTAATTTCATTAAATAATAGTAATAATTTTAGTTCTTTGAACTTCTAATAATCTCTTTCCTCAGAATTAGCTTTTCAGGTTCAATGAGTTATAAAGATTTTGCTTTACTGAACATCAGTAAATTGCAAAAAAAAAAAAAAAGGGTAAACACTGAATGAAAGAAAATAACTGAATGAAAATCAATTTAGCTAAGAGAAATTTTATAGTCATCAATCACATAAGGACATATCACTGGGTTGCACAATGATTTAATAGCAATATTAGCCATACTGATGATTCAGGAAGTAAGAACCAAACTAGGAAGCAATCCTCACTGGGTGTATCCTTGACTGATCAGCCTTTTCAGTATATTGCTTCTGTGATACTTCATGTGCATAACTACATTATACTTTCACTCACATATCACTGTGAATATATTAAGCTTTACTGACTGATCACAAAAAAAGCTATGAACATGAAAACATGTAGAGCACTTTTGTTTCACGTTCCTCCTGAAGCCTAAGCCATGTTTTCATTATTTCCCTCATCTGCAACTGTATGATATAGATACAATTTTCTCTCTCTGACGTCATTTGGATCTTATAAAAATAAACTTTATCTCAGTCATTACAATTCTTGTGAGAGGTGGTAGGTTAATTGCAACTTCTCTTTCACTTGTGATGTCAAACTGTGAATGTCTATTTCGGCTTGTTGAAAGTCAGCTTTTGTGTTTACCTTATTTACCATCTGAACAAACTGGTACATTGCGTGACAGTTTAAATTTTTTGGGCACTGAAAAAATGTGTATGTGCATACCTACACATGTATACACACAGAGCAAATGAAAGTAATTTCCTTTTTTTTTTTTTTCATCTTCTTGGGTAGGGGGTTGGAGGAGGGAGAGGTAGTACTATAGGGTAATCATCTTCAACACGTTTTCGCTGTTGAATAGACAGCAGAGACATCTTGAAGTAATGAAGTAATATGCCCCATCACATGCAGCTTTGGTTATGGGTGTTAGGTAGGGAGAATTGCTACCACTGGACTGCCACCCACTTAAGAAAAGGCAGACTTTATTTATTTATCTATTTTAATAGAAGCCACTGTAGGCAGTTTGAACTATTTTAAGAATTATCCATCTGGAAAGACAAAATTTTGTTTTTTTCAGCTCTAAGCTTGCCCTTTTTAGGTTTGTTCTGTCTCCTCTGCTCTCTCAGATGGTAATCCTTTCCCTTAGAAGAATAAAGGTAAGATGTAAACATGAGCCAAATTTGACTTGATAGAACTTGCTATAATTGCAGTTTTCATCAGCTAAAGGTCTGAATGTAAGGTAAGTTGTAAAGATGCTTCTTTGAAAGTAAATGATCCTTCTTTGGGGTCATCTCTGCATTGCATTTGCATAAGGTGAAGCTGTCTGTTCAAATGGAGAAGAAAGTATAACTATGGGTTTATCCTGTTTGCTACCTAGAAGAGGAGTACTGAATCATTAGAAAAATTTCTCACTTCAAAGTGCGTCCCTGCATGTTTCCCCAAAACTTTTTAAGTCCAGAAAGTGAGAATTTTCAGTTGAACTTTGCATGTGAAATATGGTAAAGTACCTGTAATTTATTGAAAGAGAAGTTACAGTCTGAATTTGTATTACCATGACTACACTACTTTGTGTAGTCACTTGGATCAATGTAAAGGAAAGACTCAGAGGATATGGAAACTAATAGAGTAACTATAGATTGCCTTGAAAAATTTCCAACTAACTGGTGATTCCCATAGTTGTATAAAGATATGCCTAAATGTAGGTAGTGAACATTTTTTTAGTTCTTTATGGAAATCTAAGAAATGTTCATTGCGATATTTGATGCTGGGGTTTTCATACCAATCTTGTAGAAGGCTGTTCTGTTTCATAATGACACAGCAACTGGCTGTTGTCCTCCATTTTAGTGATCCCTGCATATTTCTCTTACTGGGAATCTGAGTTTTATATATTTTACACCCATAAAAATACTGATGAGCTATTTTCTCTCTTGCTAATCTGTCATTCTGCTTTGTGTTTAGGAAAAAGCAATTCATGGTGTTGCCATGCCCAGAAGTTATCTTGAGCTGACCCTGAATCCTAGAGATAATGAATTAGATTACATAAATGCAACCAATTTTAATTGCGACATAATCCTGAACCCTGATTTATCGACGTTTCGAATTCTGCCCTGGACTGAGCAGACTGCGAGAGTGATATGTGATTCCTTCACCGTGCTGGGCAACCCGTTAATGACCTCACCAAGGCACATTGCCAAGAAACAGCTGAGCCAGCTTCAGGACAATGGCTTTTCTCTGCAGTCTGCCTTTACTTATGAATTTTGTATTTATGGCATTACCGAGATTGTAAATTCAAAGACAATATCCTTTCCTGCAGCCACGATACTAAATAACCACGACCAGACTTTCATTCAGGAGCTCATCGAAGGAATGTATTATGCTGGTGCCAATATTGAAAGCTTTTCTTCTTCCAGTGGGCCTGGCCAAATGGAGATCACTTTTCATCCAGTGTTTGGCATAGATGCTGCTGACAGCGCCTTCACGTTTAGAACAGGCATTAAAGAGGTGGCTAAAAAGTATAACTACGTTGCTAGCTTTTTCTCAGAATCAGGATTCTACAATTCCGGGCCTCTGTCACATAGCCTGTGGGATTTGAATGGCCAGAAGAATGTGTTTTCTGCTGGTTATGGAGCTGAGGAGCTCTCAGATATTGGGAAAAATTGGTTATCGGGTCTCTTGGCGCACACAGCAGCTATCAGCTGCCTGATGGCTCCTACCACCAGCTGCCGTAAGCCATACTCTAAATACAGTAAAGAATCAAAAGAGACTGTAAATGCAAAATGGGCGTACAATGATAACAGCTGTGCCTTTAATGTCAAATGCCATGGTGGAAAAAGCACTCGCATAGAGAATAAATTAAGTTCTGCTACAGCAAACCCCTACCTGGTGCTTGCTGCTACTATTGCTGCGGGTCTGGATGGAATAAAGAGAGGACTTAGGTATGATGATATGTTGGAAGAAGAAAATCTCACCGCTGATCTGAAACATTCATCAATCCCTCTGAAACTAGAAGATGCTCTTGTTGCACTTGAGAAAGATTCGTGCATTAAGGAAGCATTGGGTGAAACTTTTATCCGGTACTTTGTTGCCATGAAACATTATGAGTTAGAAACTGAAGAAATGGATCTTGAAAGGAATAAATGCTTGGGGTATTTTATTTAGAAGAAGCACTCTTCTTCAGCAATGCTGTGTAAATGCATACAGTGAATGACTAGGTATCTTGAAATTAGTAACCATATTTAAAAATCTTTATAATGCTTTGGGATTTTTTTTTCCTCATTTGTATAGTACATGGTGATTGCATTTTACTGTCTGAGTGCATTCAGGACAGTGCAAAGCTGATACTCATGAAAGAACATTATCAGGCTTTTAAAAAAACAGTATTTTTATTTTTTTTAATTTAAGTGAAAATTTAAGTGCCGATCAAAACAAGAAAAGAGAAGGTGAAATGTAGAAGAGCAACTGTACAACTGTAATAGGATTGTCTGATGTGGAGAAAAGTAGGAATAATGGCAGGGGGAGGAGGGAAGGGGGAGGGCAGGATAACTGATGAAAAAGGGGAATTTCTTATTCAGCATGGTTATGGGATTTCTCCCAGCTTACTCAGTAGCTGAAGGGTTTCTAAACCAGACGAATCTGACTTTGATTTAAAACTTAGGCAAGAATGATGAACTCTGTAGAGAGACATAGGACTGAGGCTGTAGAACCTGAGGCAGGAATCAGTGTCTTAATAGACATAAATAAAAAGACAGGAGGGAGAATTGGGTATAAAATAATCTATACGTCAGGAACTCTGATGCTGAATGAAGTTTGCAAGAATTATAGTGGATAAAGATACTAGTAGAAATCAAATGGTGGCTTGAAAAGCTAATGATTGAAAGAAAGCCAGGAGCATCAGGCCACTGGGCAATAAAAAAGGAGCTGCTATTATGTCTGCTTTGATAGTTATTGAGTTAAATCATAGAGAAAGGGAAAAAAGGGGCAAAGAAGCCAGAGAATGAAGGGCTTAAACTGGACATTTTACATGTTCAAAACCTGATGTCACCAAGGATGTGGAAGACAACTGTGAAGAGAGGAACAGACAGAGTAGGTTAAACCAGAAAGAGTGAAGATGTGAACTCAGAGACTGGCAAATAGTGGTAAAACAGGAAGAGAAGACCCAACCTAGAATTAGAAATGGTAGCTGGTGTAAAGAAAAATAAAATTTTTGCACTCTGTTTTTGTTACTTGCTGCTGTAATCATTTATTATGAAAGACAACCCTTGTTTTGTACCCCACTCCCACATTAACAGTGATTTCAGACATTCTTTATCTTGTCCAAGTATTTCTATCTACGTGGAGGGATTTGTGAGTGAAAGTGGACATCAGTGGAGTGAAAAAAAAGGTTCTATTCACACCCTGCAGAACTAGAGGGTGTGAACAGAATAGCCCATGGTACGCTAAAACTTTCTGTGGGATTCCAAAGAAGAACTCACTTTAGACTCAAGTAACAAGAGGAAATAAGTAAACTAAGGAAACATGATAAATGTATTCCATTGTCTCAATTTGTGGTTGGTGAGTCACCACCTGACACATTTCTGTGGGTGCCCCTGACCATGGGACTATTTTCTCTTTGGTCCAGGCTGATTTGCATTGGCCAGGTCTAGCCCTGCATTTAAGCAGAACTTCTCATTCTGAAAAAACGTTTTTCTTTTGCTGCCCTAACATTTCTTCAGGGGCTCTGGTAATCTGTTTGTCTCCTGTCTTCTTTTTCTGTTATTTCCCATTCTCATCTTCACAAGTAAGAGAGATGCTCCATTCCCTTGGTCATCTTCGTAGCCCTCTGCTGGACTCTCTCCAGCAGTTCCCTGTCCTTCTTTAACTGGGGAGCCCAGAACTGGACCCAGTGCTCCAGATGGGGCCTCACCAGGCTAGAGTAGAGGGGGAGGATGACCTCCCTCGACCTCCTGGCCACCGTCTTTTTAATGTACCCCAGGGGACCATTGGCCTTCTTGGCCACAAGGGCACATTGCTGCCTCATGGTCAACTTCTTGTCCACCAGGACTCCCAGGTCATTTTCTGCAGAGCTTCTCTCCAGCAGGTCAGCCCCAACCTGTCCTGGTGCAGGGGGCTATTCCTCCCCAGGTGCAGCACCCTACACTTGCCCTTGTTGAACTTCATTAGGTTCCTCACCACCAAACTCTCTGGCCTGCCCAGGTCTCCTTGAATGGCAGCACAGCCTTCTGGTGTGTCAGCCTCTCCTCCCAGATTTGCACCATCAGTAAACATGCTGAGGGTCCACCCTGGCCCCTCATACAGGTCATTGATGAATACATTGAACAAGACCAGACCCAGTACTGACCCCTGGGGAACACTGTTATTATGGGCCTCCAACTGGACTCTGCGCCACTGATCACAACATACAAGAAGGCTGAGTTCATTTCTGTTTTGTTTAATATGATTTATTTTTAAAGAAAAAAATTGTGAAAAGCAGATTCAGATCTGAAAATGGATTTTGGAAACTCTGGTGTGGGAGTGTGTTTCTATTTGAAGATGAACTTTTAGCTAAACTTGAAAATTAAGATCATTATGCCTGTAGAAGCTTAATACATATTCCGTAACCATTTCTGGTACAGCTTTGTCTAGCCTGTGTATTTACTGCCATACAGAAATCCCGTCACGTTAACACACATCATACATGCAGTGCTGTGCTTCAGCCAGAAGAAGAACCAAGGAACAGTTATTAACCTGTGTAACTGTTGGGATTAAATAATGAGTATGGTAATTAATCTCTCTGCGAAAGGAAAGAATTTTGATGAGTGTACTATGCCAAATGCCAAGAGACCTGGGTCTGTTTAGCCTCTAGCAGAGAAGGCTGAGGGGGGATCTTATCAATGCTTATAAATATCTAAAGGGGGAGTGTCAAGAGGATGGGGCCAGACTCTTCTCAGTGGTGCCTGGTGACAGGACAAGGGGCAATGGACACAAGCTGGAACACAGGAAATTCCACCTCCACATGAGGAAAAACTTCTTTACTTCGAGGGTGGCAGAGCCCTGGCAGAGGCTGTCCAGGGAGGTGGTGGAGTCTCCTTCTCTGTAGATATTCAAAACCCACCTGGATGTGATTCTGTCGAGCCTGCTCTAGGCGAAACTGCTTTTGCAGGGAGGTTGCACTAGATGATCTCCAGAGGTCCCTTCCAACCCCTATAATTCTGTGATTCTCAAGGGGGCTTAAACTGGACATTTTACATGTTCAAAACCTGATGTCACCAAGGATGTGGAAGACAACTGTGAAGAGAGGAACAGACAGAGTAGGTTAAACCAGAAAGAGTGAAGATGTGAACTCAGAGACTGGCAAATAGTGGTAAAACAGGAAGAGAAGACCCAACCTAGAATTAGAAATGGTAGCTGGTGTAAAGAAAAATAAAATTTTTGCACTCTGTTTTTGTTACTTGCTGCTGTAATCATTTATTATGAAAGACAACCCTTGTTTTGTACCCCACTCCCACATTAACAGTGATTTCAGACATTCTTTATCTTGTCCAAGTATTTCTATCTACATGGAGGGATTTGTGAGTGAAAGTGGACATCAGTGGAGTGAAAAAAAAGGTTCTATTCACACCCTGCAGAACTAGAGGGTGTGAACAGAATAGCCCATGGTACGCTAAAACTTTCTGTGGGATTCCAAAGAAGAACTCACTTTAGACTCAAGTAACAAGAGGAAATAAGTAAACTAAGGAAACATGATAAATGTATTCCATTGTCTCAATTTGTGGTTGGTGAGTCACCACCTGACACATTTCTGTGGGTGCCCCTGACCATGGGACTATTTTCTCTTTGGTCCAGGCTGATTTGCATTGGCCAGGTCTAGCCCTGCATTTAAGCAGAACTTCTCATTCTGAAAAAACGTTTTTCTTTTGCTGCCCTAACATTTCTTCAGGGGCTCTGGTAATCTGTTTGTCTCCTGTCTTCTTTTTCTGTTATTTCCCATTCTCATCTTCACAAGTAAGAGAGATGCTCCATTCCCTTGGTCATCTTCGTAGCCCTCTGCTGGACTCTCTCCAGCAGTTCCCTGTCCTTCTTTAACTGGGGAGCCCAGAACTGGACCCAGTGCTCCAGATGGGGCCTCACCAGGCTAGAGTAGAGGGGGAGGATGACCTCCCTCGACCTCCTGGCCACCGTCTTTTTAATGTACCCCAGGGGACCATTGGCCTTCTTGGCCACAAGGGCACATTGCTGCCTCATGGTCAACTTCTTGTCCACCAGGACTCCCAGGTCATTTTCTGCAGAGCTTCTCTCCAGCAGGTCAGCCCCAACCTGTCCTGGTGCAGGGGGCTATTCCTCCCCAGGTGCAGCACCCTACACTTGCCCTTGTTGAACTTCATTAGGTTCCTCACCACCAAACTCTCTGGCCTGCCCAGGTCTCCTTGAATGGCAGCACAGCCTTCTGGTGTGTCAGCCTCTCCTCCCAGATTTGCACCATCAGTAAACATGCTGAGGGTCCACCCTGGCCCCTCATACAGGTCATTGATGAATACATTGAACAAGACCAGACCCAGTACTGACCCCTGGGGAACACTGTTATTATGGGCCTCCAACTGGACTCTGCGCCACTGATCACAACGTACAAGAAGGCTGAGTTCGTTTCCATTTTGTTTAATATGATTTATTTTTAAAGAAAAATATTGTGCAGAAGACCCAACCTAGAATTATAAATAGTAGTTGGTGTAAAGAAAAATAAAATTTTTGTAATGGCAGGAGCTGGTTTTTAGATTTGCACTGGTTTTGTTACTTGCTGCTGTAATCATTTATTATGAAAGACAACCCTTGTTTTGTACCCCACTCCCACATTAACAGTGATTTCAGACATTCTTTATCTTGTCCAAGTATTTCTATCTACGTGGAGGGATTTGTGAGTGAAAGTGGACATCAGTGGAGTGAAAAAAAAGGTTCTATTCACACCCTGCAGAACTAGAGGGTGTGAACAGAATAGCCCATGGTACGCTAAAACTTTCTGTGGGATTCCAAAGAAGAACTCACTTTAGACTCAAGTAACAAGAGGAAATAAGTAAACTAAGGAAACATGATAAATGTATTCCATTGTCTCAATTTGTGGTTGGTGAGTCACCACCTGACACATTTCTGTGGGTGCCCCTGACCATGGGACTATTTTCTCTTTGGTC